ATTTAAAGAAATGAAAGACATATCACAGTCGATTTGGTGTTTCCATTTAAAAAAAAAATGGAAAAATTCTTTCGAAAATTTTTTTCATTTTGGGACAAAATAGATGTGTTAGTTGACTCTTCGAACAGAAGAAGAAGTTTCGTCTTTCTTTTCATTAAATTTTGATTTTCAAATAAAATTCAACAAAAGCGATATCATTGACAGCGATCATAACGTTAAGAAATGAACATTCGATATGCAGAAACAATTTCTTCTGCAAATAACGATGCATCTTATGTAATATTCAAAAAAAAAGAAAAACCAAATCTCTTTATTATGAATTTGATCAATTATTGATTATTCTTTCCTTCTTTCTTCCTCATTTTTAACATTTATTGATAAAAAATATTCATTATTCCAACATAACTATGAGATTCTATCGTTAACTGTTGAATTATTTTATTACCTTATCATTTTTCATCTCACAGTAACATAATTAAGGTTTTTCTTTATTTTCATCGTTTCTTTCTCATAACGTTAGTTTACTTTATCGATTCGAATGATACATTCGGCTGCATTTGTTTTAATAAGAAATCAGTTCGACAATTTCACGAGTTTTAGTGTATATTTATCGATCATATGTGTTATAGTATATGAACTTGAGTATGATTTTTTTTATATGACCTCAAATACGATATCGCGATGAACATAATAAAAGTGAAAGGTTGAAAAAAAATCAAAAAGTTAGTTTTTTTTTAATTGACTTAACGTGATGAATAACGATCTTTCGTTTACCTTCTTCCATTCAAAAAAGTCGGCACATAAAAAGTCAAACGTTTCAATTTTTTCTGATCTCATGCGTTTATTGACATCTGTCGATTGTCTTTTGATATGTTCTTGAATTCTATTTTGAGAAATACGATATTGAATGCATTCTAATGATTAAAAATTAAGAATGGGAAACTTGAATAATATTATTTCATTATATATCTTTTTCACGAATATAATCATGTATATCTTAAGAGTTCAAACATATTGAAATCGAATTTTCTTCGTCTATTTTTACGATTGATTATGACAGATTGACCATTTATCTTAATTTAAATATCCGAAACGACCATACATATAATTGTATCGACCAGTTTTTATGAAAAAATCTGTCTAATGAGAAAATGATCGCACATCCTATTTGTATATTGCATTTTATTTTATTTTTATATTTCATTATCAGTATCAAACCAAGCAATGATAGTTATTTAAAAAATTGAAAAACGTCTTCTTTAAATGAAAAATCATATTGTTAGCAAGATAAGGAATTAATTTATGACATCTCATAAATATTAGATAGATAGGATAAGATATATGATCATTACGCAACTCCTTGAATCGATTCATGTTTTTATTCGATCATCCCATAATAAATCATATATACTTTGACAATAATCATGTTTTATCTGAAAAGATAAATCCATGACTTATCATGCAAATATATGCATTACATAAGATGTTGACGTTTTTGTTGTTTTCAAATATCGGAATGTCCGTTTTTTTCAAAAATTTTGAATTTGATTGCTCATATATATAGCTGAGAAGAATGATCATTACGCTGTTAGTGTTCTTTTTTTCAACATTGGACGACGTGCTATTTTTCCACGAGAATTAAAAAGAAAAGAACTCTTTTGAATACGGAAAAATGCAACCAAAAATTTGATTTGATACATGTTAACTTCTTCTATGATCTTCATTATAAGATGGAACATTATGTAGATAAGCTTCTACCTTCACATTACATTAAACCTAAAGAAGACCATGGAAAAATCTAGAACTCAAATGGAAATCTAAAGAACAGATGATACTGCATTTTTTGTATTTATTGATTTAATAGTATACAAAATTTGTTCAAAACCAATATGCATACTTTAATCTTGAAAAAACTTTTTAATAGAAATTTTGAAACAGTTCATTTTCATGAAAAATACTCTATCTTTTAGATTATCATATAGATACGAAATATGGACAAACAATGCGTTTTCTGCACTATGTTGTGTGCAAGTTATTGTTGCACACAATGTAATCAAATGACTCGTAGTTTAAAATTTGAACGTTTACTTCAGCGTCTAGAAAGATGCTCTGAAAATGTCATGTACCGCGATAAAATCAATTCTGTTGTACAGCGAATTAAACAAGTGAGTATATTCAAATGACGATTTAATTAAAAATTAAAGGTATTTTAGATGGATTCAATTATGAGACCATTTCAATTTTATCCGACTTATGTTTTTGATGAAGCAAAGCATAAAATAGATGTGGTCGCTAAGGAATACCTTCAAAAAGCGAGTGATGACACACATCATCTTGTTCCTATTGACGTTCCTGGCGATGGACATTGTTTATATCATTCTATTGTTCTTTTGATGAACAATCCATTAGTGACGGCCACTGAATTGCGAGGTATTGACTTTTTCTTTGATGTTACGCTAAATTTAGTTTTGAAAATTTGTTTAGTTCGAACGGTTATTGAACTTATAACCAATGAAAACTATTACGATACCATGTATTCACAACATGCAGGAACTACCGATATTATTATTCAAGCAGCTTGCAGAAAGGGAATGTATTCTGAATTACATGAGATTGCTGCATTATGCAATGTACTACAATGTAACATACGAAGTGTTTATCCAAAAATTGATTTTCAATATTATAAGGCAATTTGGGATAGCGTCTTTACACCTATTCCACCTGTTATTGGCAATTGTAACATTGCAATCTTATGGTCAAACACTTTGCACGAAAAAGATGCTCGAGAAACGTATAATGACACATGGAGACCAAATCATTTTGTTCCACTTCTGTCGCCACCTATTCTTAATGAATTTAGTAGTCAATCAGTGTCACTTGTTGTAGTAAGTTAGCTATTTGTAAATATAAAAATCAGAACCTTGAAACTTTTCTCTAGACTCCTGAAAAGAAGACGTTCAAGAACAATGCAGTTACTCAAATAAGAGTACCTGAATTTCAGTCTTCTCTGAGTAGACGATTACGAAGTGAAGACAACAGCGGAAATGATTTCGTTCAAACAAATGTTTCAAGTACAATGGAAAAGGAAAAGGACGATAAGGAAGAAAGACGTCAAATTCAACTTCAGAAGAAAAGCGAACGAAGCCGATCCAGTCGAATGAACGAAACAGAAGAACATCGACAAATTCGTCTACAGAAAGAGAAGGAACGAAGTCGCGCGAGCCGAATGACTGAAACAGAAGAACAACGACAAGTTCGACTTGAGAAGATGGATGAAAGAAATCAATCGAGTCGAGCAAATGAATCCGAAGAGCAGCGTCAAATTCGACTTGAGAAGATGAAAGAAACAAATCAATCAAGTCGAGCAAATGAATCCGAAGGGCAGCGTCAAATTCGACTTGAGAAGATGAAAGAAAGAAATCAATCGAGTCGAGCAAATGAATCCGAAGGACAACGTCAAACTCGACTCGAGAAAAAACGAGAGCAAACTCAACGTACACGAACAAATGAATCACGAGAACAACATCAGATCCTACTCGAACAGCAAAAGAAACGAAGTCAAGCAAATAGAACTAAAAAGAAACATGAAAATGTTGGTAGCGGAAAAAACTATGTTCGCTCACCTTGGCCTGAACCAATTGCTCGTGATTTAAAAGAAACTCGTTTGCAGCAATTTTTAGAACAGATGTCTATGTCAAAATTGGCTGAAGCGACTTGTGCAGTTTGCAATGTCCGCACTCCAGCAAAAGATGCGAAAAAAATACCCATCTCTAAAATTCCTAATATTGATTTGCTTAAAGCTTCTGAAGAACTCAAAACTTTAATTAAAAATTCAACTGAAAATACTGCCACTCTCATCGATGATAACAATACACATACGACATCACATATTAAAAGTATGTAGAATTAAATTGATTCAGAAAATTTACAGAATTGTTTTTTTTAGATCAGTCAAATTTTGGTTTGTCATCTTTCTACTGCGAAAATGATATTATCTTGTACAAAAATGGCTTATTTGAAAAAAACAGAGTGAATATGTGTATTCTTTGTCAAAAATGCCATAGTTCTCTTTCAAAAGAACAAATACCGAAGTTTTCAGCTGCGAATAACATGTGGTTAGGTGATATACCTACCGTATTACAAGGGTTGACGATTCCAGAAGAAAAATTAATATCACTCTATCGTCACAATAGCTGTATAATAAAACTTCAATCACCTTTTCATTCAACTACAACTGCTCAAACAGCATTGAAAGGAAATTGTATTACCTTCCTTCAAAATGTACCAAATATTGTCAATAGTTTGCCACTTACACTTGCTGATCTTTGTGATACACTTAAAGTAATTTTTATTGGAGCTCGGCCACCTGATCGTCTTCATCTTAGAAAAGTTTTAACAGTGCGTAAGAAAAAAATTATTGAAGCATTACAATGGTTGAAAAAATATAACATACTTTATCAAAACATCAATATAAATCTCGATAATATTGCTCAATTACCAGAAGATGATGTACCAGAGTGCATCATGTCAACTTTAGAACAAAAGATAGGCGATGAAGAAGCTCAATCCGAAAGAACTGGATATGTTCCTGATCCATTATTGAATCCCAAAGAACTCACTACTGCAGATGTCATACCTATCAGTAACAGGTAAGAGCAATTGATAAATCAATGAATTCATATAGCTTCTCTATTTTAGTGGTGTTCTTGATGTTAATGGCTCATCAGTATCATCAGATGAGATTACTAATTACTTTTTACATAAAATAAAAACAAATGATCAAGCAGTTACTGAAAACGTTTACTTAATTCCACATTCATCGAAACCTGTCAATGAATATTTCAATCCAAAATTATTAACTGGTTTATATCCAACTTTATTCTGTTATGGACGAGGAGCACCTGAAGATCAATCACGTCCAATTGAAATCAAATTTAAAGAACACATACGTTATCTGTTATCTTATAATGATCGTCGCTTTGAAACAAATCATAGTTTCATATTTGTAGTATTCAACTTATTACAACGACGTGATGCTTGTTTTCATGCTCAATTAATCGCAACAAAACCATATTTTCAAGCATCAGCTAATGAAATTCAATCAATCAAAAGCAAAGATATTGAAGCGGCTCTTGACAACAATACCAAAAGAACATACAATACAGAAACAAATAGTGCATTAAATAAACTTTTACAACATATAAAAACTGTCGGTGGTCGAGTTATGGGATCAGCATATTCAAGAACAGCTTTACGTACTCGTATACATGCACTTATTTTTAACCAAGGTTTACCGAGTATATTTCTTACAATAAATCCAGCTGACATCCATAGTCCTGTAGCATTATATTTTGCTGGTGTTCAACTCAATCTTGATAAAATTCAAAATGAACAACTTATGGATACTTATCGAAGAGCCGAAATTATAGCATCTCATCCAGTTGCTACTGCCAAATTTTTCCATGTATTGATCAGCAATATCTTGGAAACTATGATAATGGGTGGAGTTCTCGGACCAATAAAGGCTTATTTTGGTACGGTCGAAAGTCAAGGCCGAGGTTCACTTCATTTACATCTTCTTATTTGGCTTGATCATGATATGAAACCAACTGATATGAAAGAAAAAATTCAAGATGCTACTTTTCGTAACAAGTTAATAGCATATTTAGAAGATATCATCAAAGAAGATTTAGATGATTTCAAAGAGAAACAAGTCATCGAATCTTCTGACGGTATGAAATATATTTATTTTATTCAATCGTTCATCTTTTTTATTTCTAATAGAACCACAATCATCACAAAACAATATTTATACTGCTTTACGTACTATTGATTTGACAGGCACTGTAGAAAATACACATCAGTCGCCTCTTTTTTCAACACCAACCAAGCAGCATTTACCTTCTCAATCGATTCCATCTCGATCACCATCAATTCCATATAGATCTCCAGTATCAAGTCCAGTGGCACAAACACCAACACATGATCGATCTGCATTTGGTATGTTACAATAATATTTTATAAAAATAAAATATTTATTAGTATTTTCAGATATGAATGTGTCATCTAATCAATCAAAATTACCTCCAGCCTGTTTACCCACTCCAAATCCATCGTCGCCTAATTTTAAATCAAAATTTCGTGCACATGTAGCACAAGTTGCTGAATCTAGCAATACTCATAGACACTGTGATACATGTTTTAAATACTGCAATGGTGGCAAAAAGATTTGTCGATCGATTATGCCACGAAAACGGGTACCAGTATCAACAATCGATCCAGAAACTGGTCGTATTTGTATGAAACGATCAGATCCATGGATGAATAATTTCAACGAATATATTATCTCAGCTTGCCGATCCAATATGGATATTAAATTTATTTGGACCGGAAATGATGCCAAAGCTTTAGTTTACTATATTACCGATTATGTCACAAAGATGAATCTATCTTTTCATGATATATTTTCTCTTGTCCAAAAAAGTATTACATCATTACAAAATCCAAACAATCAAGTAGACAAGGAAAATGTAATTGAAAAATCACGTAAACTCGTTTTACGTTGTTATAATGCACTTGCTTCACAACAAGAATTATCCGGTGTGCAAGTTGCTTCTTATCTTATGAATTGGGATGACCATTACACAACACATAAATTTCGAGGTCTTTATCTAATTCAAACTGAACGATTTTTACAATCTGAATTGAATGAAATGCGTGCGAAACAAAATCTTCAATCAACATCACAAGGTAAATCTAATTAATTCATTTTATATGCTTATTATTCAAGTGACTCTCATACAGTGACAATCTTTTTTTTCTATATGTACAGCGCAAGAGACGGCTAGAGAAAGAGAGAAGAAGAAGAGAGAGAAGAGAGCGAGAAAAGGAAAGAAGCAAACGAAGAAGAAAAAGAAAGAGGAAGAAAAAACGCGATAGGCGGAATTTGAACATCAGGAAAATTGACCTACGATAATTAATTAGCCGAGCACGTACATGTTAAGAAAGAATGGAAAGAGGAATGATGGAAAAGAAGGATAACGTTCAATGTATAAACAATCAATCAGTGAAAAAATCAAAATAAAAGGAAACAAACAGCTTGATATATCTTTCATATAAAGAGTGATAATGATGATTGGGAAAGTGTGAACATCAATGATACATTGTGTCACCAATAAGTCCTGTTCGATGAGAAGATGTTAGTATGTTCTCACTACTGTTTCTATAGATAAGTGTCGAGAAGCGAGCTGAATTATTCGAATATGATTTCTTATTAATATGTGAAATGATGAAGCAATTTATTAATAATGATTAAAAAAATGTATGTGTTTTTTTTCACATATAGATGTAATTGATGATGAAGATATATTTGATGATGAGACAATTATTGAGGAAAACAACGATGAAGAACATTTCCAAGTTCAACCGGCGGGAGATAAAAACAATTTTATACTTGTTAATACACGCGTTGATTATCAATATCGTTCAAACAACCTCAACAACACTTGTTTATATGACTTTGTCAGTACATTTTATAAGAAAAAAATTAATGAAACAGATATAAAATATTTATCAAAATCCTATACGACTGAAAAACGACAAGATAATCAAAAAGGTCGACCATCTAATGAACGATTTTTTTTTCACAAAGATCATCCTCAAGCAACAACACATCTACTCATGAAATACAGTGAGGCTCATGTACCTGTTCTTTATGGTCCTCAAATTCCTCGACAAGATCGCGATGATACTCGAGAACGATACAATCGTGCACTTCTCACACTTTTCGTACCATGGCGCAATGTAATTGATCTTTGTGACATCAATCAAACATGGGAAGATGCATTAGAATCTCGAAAACATCGTATTTCGGCTCATTCATGGAAGATTATAGAAAATATTCAACTTTTACATGAATGTAAAAAAGATCGTGATGAACATTTACTTCAAGTTATTGCTGAAGCACAGGTCGATAATGATTCGATTGATCCTGCATTTTTACCATCAAATCAAGGTGCTGATGGTGAACACGAAGCAGATGACATCGACGATTTGATTCAATTAATAGGCAGTGTAGATGAATTTACAGCTGCTACAATCAATGCCACGAAAAAATCAACAGAAAACGTATATATTCGAGAAACGATTGAAGCTGTGGAAAAAGTTGGACGGTTTAATCATATGAATCGTAAGTGTTAATTGTTTTATGATCTATATCATTCAGGAAAAAATATATAAATTGTTTCAGGTCATGATCAACATGTTTCAAATACAGGCATTGATCAACAAATTGTACCGTTTGTTTCCGCAACACCTAATCTCATTAAACTTAATTCAAAATGGCAAGATCAATTGAAGAATGAAAAGGAACGAATCAGGCGCAGTTTGATTTCGGGAAAACATAACAATGATGATGATATATTGGATTTTAATGATGTAACTGACGCCGTTGTAACGGTAGTCAATCCATATGATAATCGAAATAATGTCGAAAAAAAACATCAATTCCACCAGTACTTGTAGTTAAAAACAATTTCTCAACTCAAAACAGCATCATTGATGAATTCACATTGAACAAGGAACAAAGAGCTGCATTCTTGATAATAACAAGTCATCTCGATGGTGACAATCGATGTCGTACAGGTATTTTCGTAAAATAAATCATTACTTATTTGATCAAATAATCTATTTTAGGTGACAATAATGGTCAGCTCATTATGTGTATACCTGGATGTGGTGGAACGGGCAAATCACAATTGATTCGTGCTCTTACAAAATATTTTCTCATCACAAAAAGAATGCAAATGATGCGAAAACTTGCACCTACCGGAATTGCAGCAGCTGAAATTGATGGCATGACAATTCATTCATTCTTAGGTGAACAACGTAATTCAAGAAAGCCACGTACCATTAAACCAGGTGATTCCAAACTTGAAAAAGAATGGCGATCTGTTGAATATCTCTTAATTGATGAGATGAGTATGGTTGGCTTAACTTTATTAGGAAAACTCAATAGAATTATTTGTTCTGCAAAACATGTCGATCCTCAAGTTCCATTTGGTGGTGTGAACGTAATCTTCTTTGGTGACTACTTACAATATCGACCAGTCTATGATTCACCATTGCATACTGATTTTTCATTACCATCAAAAAAGAGACAAGGAAAACTACTATCTGAAAAAGAAATTCAACAACGTGTTGCACGTTCTTTAATTCTTCAAATGAATTGTGTGGTGAAACTTACACAACAGATGCGAACAGAAGATTTACGATATCTTCAACTACTCGATCGGCTTCGTCATGGACAATGCAATTATGACGATTATGAATTATTACAAACACGAATTGTTGGCCAACCATCCATAGAATCTCTACATGATTCACCATGGAACAAAGTAAATCAACTTTTTCGAGTAAAGGAAAAACTATTTTCATCTTTTTAGGCTCCTATTCTCGTGTTTCGAAATGAAATTCGAACAAAATTAAACAACAAGGCATCAATTCATAATGCAACTCAAATAGATCACCCACTGATGGTATGTGTCGCGCAAGATACTTGCAAAGGCAAACCAATCGAAGATCCAATATTGATTAAAAATTTATTAGAATTATCTGATAGCAAAACAGAGCATTTACCTGGTTTACTACCTTTTGTTCCAGGCATGCCTGTCATTTTAACACAAAATATTGCTACTGAACTGGGTCTTATCAATGGTATTAAAGGAACCTTTCGACAATTAGTATATCACGAAGAATCGGTGTCAACAAAAGCTTTCTCGGAAATGTTTCCGAACAATACACAATTTATTCGTCGACCAATATATGCTTTGATCGAGATTAATAAGTCCAAGATCGAATGCAAACTTCAAGATCTTGAACCAAAACTTATTCCAATCCCGTTAGTAGAACAAACATTTCGTGTCGACATTGCCGATATTCTTCCAAAAGACAAAAAACCAAAATCAAATCAAAAGACAATTTTATCAATTAAACGATCTGCACTACCACTTGTACCTGCTTATTGTATTACAACACATAAAAGCCAAGGTCAAACTTTGAATAAAGTGATTATTGATTTAAAATTACCAAATGAAACTGATGATATTGCAGCAGTATATGTACCATTATCTCGTGTGAAACGTTTAGTTGATTTAGCTATTCTACGACCATTCGATTACAAAGTTTTACTTATGAAACCAAATAAATCTCAAGTTGCTGAGATGGAACAACTTGATCAACTGTATATCAACACACGATTACGTTTCCCGGAATGGTTTCAATAAATCATATATATAATAACACAATTCTTATTATTTGCATGTAGTTTTACTATGAAAAATGCAAATTTTTCATAAGTTCCGTTATCTTTCATTAAATCATGGGATTTCTACGTTTGAATATTCTTTAAAATAGAGATGTTTTTACTTTTCCGATGGTGTTGTGCATATTTCATAGATATTAATTTTTTGTGTTCATTCTTCTTTGTTTCAATTGAATATAAAATAAATTTCTGTTATGCAGTTAATTATGGAAGTTCTTGAACAAACCTTCTCAACTGTAGTTCGAATTAGAATATTTTTTGAATTTTCTACGAAATGACTTATAGAATGGTAAGCTAAAAAAGCACTATGACGAATATATAATAATAGAATCCAAATTATTATGAATGATTTCAGCAACAGAAAACAACCAATGTTAGTAGTTCAGTCGAGGGTAAAGCGAGTCTGCCTCGACGAGCGTTACTTGTATATTTATATTTACATTTATATATTTTACTCTCCATTACTATGTTAAATTTTTATATAATTGTAAATAATAATTTATATAAAATATTTAATAAATTAAGAAAAAGCTAATTTCTTAAAAAAATGATAAATACAATCTACCTAAGACGTATGAACTTTCATTCTGATTTCACAACAACAGACATCGCTTTACTCTGATACAAACCAATCACTGCAGCCTCCTGCAAGGCTGAAATAAACTACTCATAACCTAATAAACCTCATTAAAACTTGTATTCGCATTTACTGTATTTTCTTTTATTCAAAGACATATGAGTTGCACAAAATTAAATATATATGTTAAAAGGTAAAATTGCAAACACTAATCTATTTTGGTATAAAAAGAATATGTCTTTCTAAAATTTCGCCAGGAGGGGCTCAAAAGTCCGTAGGGGGGGGGGGGGCTCAGCTCCCCCTGGCCCCCTGCTGGCTACGCCACTGGTTATAACGAGAAATAGAAGAAGTAAAATGATTTGACATTACTAAAAGTGTTTGTTGCTGTAAATTAAATGATAGTCGAAACAAAACTTTAGTTGATGAAAATGCGACAAAGACTGGTACGGAAATAGTATGTTTTGGTAAAATTCAAATTCTGTTAGACAAACGTACAGGTATATGAATAGGAGTGGGTGTTGGGTGTGGTGGTATGGGTGTGAGTGAGAGCCTAATTTTCATCCACACCCATAATAAACTCACACTGCTATGAACTGCAATATTTCAGCGCAGTAAATCTTTGTACTGTTGATTGAAGAAGTGGTTATTCGTTGTTAATGAGGTATCGATTTTCCTGATGAATGATACTAACAGCTGCGCATTGTGTTTCAGCAATCGAGCGAAATTTAAATATCAACTAACAATTATATTTGCTCCCATTTCTGTCTTTGGTATTTTGAAATTTGATAAAACAAATCAAGTTTTTAGGTGATTTTCTATAAGAAAATGAAACGCGTAATTGAAGATTGAAAAGAGAACGGTATCGATTCGATCAAAAAGTTTTATATTCGTATTTGAACTAGTATTTTGTTGACTTTTCATCCTCGAGATTAACACAACAGAAAATAAAAACTTCCACTGTATACATCGACAAAGAAAGAAAACATGCTTCTGTACCACATTAACAATACAGTGACTAAGCAAAGATGCGAAAGTCTTGGTTCAAAATGTTCGTTGATCTTTCTGACAGTTATACGAAATTGTTGAGAGTCAAAAGCAATCGGTTAGAGTCAGAATATTGTGTTCTTTCAGAATACATGTGCAGAATTTTCTTGTAACATCAGTTTAGTCAACTGTATGAAAAATTTTTCCAAGGGTCCTAAATGATGTCTATACAAAATTTTATTTTGAATCTTAATCAAAGACTACTTAAAACAAAGTATGAAACAGTTTTTAATAGTTCTATATTATAGAGCAAGTTTTTTTGTCTATAAAATGTGCTATTTACTTTCCATCTTATCTTGCAAACAAGATCGTAAGTATTCTTTTTTAAAGCTAGTTTTTGACACATACCATGTTACACATCGAAAGCAGTTCTTTCACGAAAATGTGTAAATTTTCAGAAATTTGAGATCTAGCCTATTATGATAGTTCATTTTTATAGAAAATTGAATGTTCTACAATGATATCAAGTTCAAACTGGTATACAAACTGTGTATTATGAAAATTTTCATCTTTTTCTTAGTACAGACATCATTTGAACTCTTTGAAAAATTTGCACATCAGGTGAATAAGTTCAACGTCAAAACAAAGTTCGAAACATATGTTCGAAAAGAGAACAAAATTCTGCATCTAACTGATTGTTTGTTACTCTTAACAGTTGCTTCTAAGTGCTGGAAATATTATAGAAAATTTTGTATCTTGACAATCGTGTCGTAGGTTGCTATTTCCAAGATAATATCCAATCGTTCGTAAATATATCTACTCATAATATTTGTTTCATTTAAAACTTTTCGCATTTTAAATATTTAATTAACACGCTAAACGAAAAGAACACACTTATTGTGTTTTATTGTTTTCTATTAATTCTCATTCACCTGTTCATATAAATAATCAATTTATTTGATCGACGAAATAATTATCGAACGTTTGAATGAAACAAGATAGACCCATGGTTATTTATTGAGAGCATGGATAATTATGAAATGATTAATGCTTTTTTATTATTTTTATACTTTTTCATTGGTCATTTAATCATTGAAGCAAGTAACGTCAAAATAAAAATGCACTATTAAAATAGCTCATATAGATAATATTGATTTAAATGAATACTTCAAGTTTATGCACACATAAAAAGTGCATCTTTATTCTTGCTTGGATGCTTTTTAGTAACCAGCAAAAAAAACAAGAAACGACAAGTAGCATTAAAGCAGAAAAACATGTTTTTTGATGATTTAGTGTTGTGCATGCACGCTAAAATATGTTTTTACTCTTTATATTTGATAGTTATGTGCATAATCAGACAACTAGAAAAAACAATCCGTGTACAAAATGGATAAGTGCATTGGTGTGAACTTGAGAGGCATCCTTGTGCTCCCCCTTTTCCAAAGTTTCTCGTCAACTACTCGACGAAAAATGATAAAGCTTTCAAAACAGATAGATCTCGATAAGTAGAATAAAAGTTGTCATAGACTGGAAATTCTCAGATGGTTTCTTTAGGAAGAGTTGGTGGAAGGAGAAAATCATAAAAACCAAAAATGATCTTGAGTTTCCTCTCCCTGCAAAACGATACTTCATATTTTTATGACAACTAGGATCATATCGATGTGTGTTTTTCTTTTTTTTTTTTTCAAGAATATTGTTGCTAGAACTCTGGAGAAGTAAAATACTAGAAGCATCGTCAAAACTCGTGTATTGTCCAATGGTACTATTTTTTTTTTACAGGCTGTTGAATTTCGTGGTAACAAAATTTTGAAAAGAAAACCACGGAAGCCATTTTGATCATATTACTCATAAAAATGGTTGAGCTTCAATGTACGTACGTACTGCGTGAACGAAAAGTAAGCAAAATTTCATTTCGTTTTTGTTCAAAAACTAATGTTGAAAAAAGTGCAAAGCAAAATGAAATTGAACTTTTTCTTCTCTTTTGTATATCAAATATTAATAAAAAGAACTGTTTCTAAGAAATGATCATAGAATTAACAGTAGATATTGTCACCTAAGAAACATAGGCTTTTTTCAAGATAGGTGTTTTCAAGACTAAGATTTTTTAGGGCTTATATGGGTTCATGCAATTCTGATTTTTACCGCACTTGATAGTAGATGCTTCAATATAGCTTTAGAAAGGAAAACTTTCAAATCAAAAAACGAAATTTTACGAGCAAGGAAGAGTTTGAAGCTCTCTTAAAAGAGCAAGAAGCGGTATAAACGACTGAATTGCCTATTGTTTTTGCATGTTTAATTGAACTAATGAACAGAAATAACAACACACAAGTAGAAATATCATGCCATGCGAGTTTTTCGACTTTATCTCATGAATAGGGCGATCCAAAAGAAAGTGCAAATTATTTTTAGGAAATGAAGATTTATAAATTGACCTTCTTTCTTTTCTGATTATCAAGTAGACAAAGTGTTGTTTTCTCAATTCAAGGGTCATATAACAGTTGATTTTTTTGTTCTCTTTTTTTTTTGACGTAAATTTTTAAAATAAGATCGAAATAGAAATATCCATCATCCATGATCTCATTGAAAATTTATTAAAATGATAGTGACGTAACAAAACTTTTACTTTGAAAATGGAATCAAAATAAAATACTAATTATTGACTATTATGAATTTTCTCGATAAGAAAACAATTCATTAATTATGAAATATGATGTTATCATTGACTATAAAAAAAATATATCAAACATTTGATTGATGTATCGATTCCATTAAAACTATTATCAATGATAATAAATTTTTTATGTTATTTTCAGAATACAAAAAAAAAAGCATTTTTTATTTTGTTTCAAAATCGAATTATTTTCTACCAAATATTCATTGATCATGTAGTTTACCTTTTTTTACATAAAATTAATTTCATTAATAAGTAATTTATTCTTATTGGAGATAATAGGAATTGTTCTATAACGATATTTTTTGTTCTCATCAAAGTTCTATTATCAAAGATCTACAAGAGAATAGGAAAAGAATCGAATCAAAACATGTACCAGGGGAAAAGTTCCTCACTCTAACGGCAAGCATGACTCAATTTAAAACATAAAGTGAAAGTGTGACTTGAAAGTTTTAGTATTTGAAAGAAAAATTTCCTTTTCTCTCGTATTATGAATTCAAGGTTACTCAAAGTTGGGAATATAATTTCTTGTAACTAGATGAATTTTATCGCAAAATTTTCATAACTTAACCCTACTTGTATAAAAATATAAAAACTTAAGCTAGCTGAAAGAATTTTTTTCGCATGAAGGAACAAAATTTTTATTCATAAAAAAACCATTTAGAGTAATTAATTTTTATGATAAATACGATAGGAAATGACAGAATAATGTGTATTTTCATATATTGTT